TCCTACTTCCAACAGACCTCACTACCTCTGAGGACGCTTGCCATAGATGCAGGCGAAACGTCAGGAGAAAATATGCCTCTAGAACATGACCATATAGCCCGGAAAAACCTACAACAACCCTGTGTAAACCAGTGTTTTCGTTGCTACGTAACTGTAATTTTGCTACTTTTATGCTTACTTACTTAGGCGATCCCTCATTGTCCGAGTGGGATAATCTTCCAGGGTGGGTCCGTAGGTGACTATGGAGCCCTATTCTTGATCTTCATCTTCTTCCGCAGTGAGGGCATTGGTTTCCAGGTGGAAGGTGGTCCTGGTTGGGGTTGGCTTGATGCACCTTCCTCTTGGCATGTTTCTCTCTTTCGCCCTCCATTCATGCCTCTTCAATTTCTACAGCACTGCTGGTCACAGCTAACCTCCAGCTGGAGCACTCACAGGCCAGGGCTTCCCAGTTCTCAGTGTCTATGCCAGAGATTTTAAGGTTGGCTTTGAGCCCACCTTTCAATCTCTCTTCCTGTCCTCCAACATCCCATTTTCCGTTCTTGAGTTCGGAGTAGAGCAACTGCTTTGGGAGACGGTGGTCAGGCATCTGGACAATGTGGCCGGTCAAGCGGAGTTGATGGAGGAGGACCATCGCTTCAGTGCTGGTGGTCTTTGCTTCTTCCAGCACGCTGACATTTGTCTCTTTGTCTTCCCAAAAGATTTGTAGGATTTTCCGGAGGCAGCACTGATGGAATCATTCCAGGAGTTGCATGTGATGTCTTTAGACGGTCCATGTTTCACAGGTGTATAGCAGGGTTGGGGGGACAATCTATATATATAAAAATGCTCTGTGCATAATGAGTACCTTAAAAACAAAAGAACCAATCAACGAAATCACACCAAATTTGGCAACAAAACATCTCACTATACAAGGAGTGACCATCACTCAAAAATTATGATTTTGTCATTTGGGAGTTGTAGTTGCTGGGATTTATAGTTCACCTACAGTCAAAGAGCATTCTGAACCCCACCAATGATGGAATTGAAGCAAACTTGGCACACAGTTCTCCCATGACCAATGTAAATACTGGAAGGGTTTGGTGGGCAGTGTCCTTTGGTTTTGGAGTTGTAGTTCACCTACATCCTGAGATCTCTGTGGACTCAAACAATGATGTATCTGCACCAAACTCTACACGAATACTCAATATGCCCAAATATGAACACTGGTGGAGATTAGAGAAAATAGAATCTTGACATTTGTGAATTGTAATTGCTGGGATTTATAGTTCACCTACAATCACAGAGCATTCCGAACCCCACCAACGATAGAATCGGACCAAACCTCCCACACAGAACCCCCATGACGGCCACAGCAACACGTGGCAGGGGAAGGCTAGTAGCTTTATCAACAAGCACCTTGGTATCCCTCAAACACTCTCTGCTTCATTCGGAAAAAAGCTGCACTTGCAGAGCTCAGGCACTGTTGTATTTCGGTGTCAATGTTGACTTTGGTGGAGAGGTGGCTGCCAAGGTAGGTACTGTTATCAATCATAATGTAAAAACGTTAGGAGAGAATGCTGCTGGAACACAACCATATAGCCCGGAAAACACAGCATCTCAGTGATTCCAGCCATGAAAGCTTTCGACAATACATAAATCCAAATGACTTGAGGACACACAACCACAAGACAGATTGGGATGTGATATAAGAGGTGAAGGACCAAAGAGGTGAAGGACCAAGCGGAAATCCCTTTCTCCACCCATTTGAATGCATTTAAGATCTAATTGAAACATCACCTCTTCTTGCATCATGGTGAGGATCACTATTGGCACAGAATGTCTGCTCCGCTTCACTTCCTGGGCCTCTTGCACTGCGATCAGGGCAAAAGTCTGACCAAGTCTTTGATTTCAGATCAATTTCCTTGTTGGGTCCATTGTTGTTGTGAGTACAAAGGATCTGAAACAAACAATGTGGAAAACAGTGATACTTTGTTCTCTCGCTACTTCGCGGTTCACTTTTAGCGGACTCGCTGTTTCGCAGTTTTCAAAAAATATTAATTTAAAATATAATAATAATAATAATAATAATAATAATAATAATAATAAACTGTATTTGTATACCGCCCATCTCAGCCTTCCGGCAATTTGAGGTGGTTTACAAGGCAAAATTCAATACCATAGGAACACAAGTACAATATAAAAAAAGCATTAACATCCATAAAATCATAACAATAACAATAAAACATAAATCAATAAATTCTCATTAAAAAAACATTGTCCAGTCTCATCGTATAGTTGTTTCAGTTCCTATGTCTGTTACTCAATATTTGCAAATGCTTGCTCGAATAGCCATGTCTTGAGTTTTTTTCCGAAATGTTAGGAGCGAAGAAGCTGATCTGATCTCCCTTGGGAGGGTGTTCCATAACTGAGGGGCCACCACTGAGGAGGCCCTGTCTCTCGTCCCCGCCAGACGTACTTGTGACTAACCCAAGGAGTGACCATCACTCAAAAAAAATTGAGTTGTCATTTGGGAGTTGTAGTTGTTGGGATTTATAGTTCATCTACAATCAAAGAGTATTCTGAACTCCTTCAATGATGGAATTGAACCAAACATGGTACACAGGACTCCCATGACCAACAGAAAATACTAGAAGGGTTTGGTGGGCATTGATGTTGAGTTGGGGACTTGTAGTACACCTACATCCAGAGAGCACTGTGGACTCAAACAATGATGGATCTGGACCAAACTTGGCACGAATATTCCATATGCCCAACTAGGAACACAGATGGAGTTTAGGGGAAATAGACCTTGACATTTGGGAGTTGTAGTTACTGGGATTTACAGTTCACGTACAATCAAAGAGCATTCTGAACTCCACCAATGATGGAATATAACTAATCTTGGCACACAGAACTCTCATGAACAACAGAAAACACTAGAAGGGTTTGGTGGGCATTGATCTTGAGTTTGGGAGTTTTGGTTCACCTACATCCAGAGAGCACTGTGGACTCAAACAATGATGGATCTGGACCAAACTTGGCACGAATACTCAAGTGTAAACACAGGAGGAGTTTGAGGAAAACAGACCTTGACATTTGGAAGTTGTGGTTACAGGGATTTATAGTTCACCTACAATCAAAGAGCATTCTGAACCCCACCAAGGACAGAATTGGGCCAAACCTCCCACATAGAGCCCCCATGACCAATAGAAAATACTTAAGGCCATCCAGTCCAACTCCTTTCACCAGGACAAGAAAATGTAATCAAATACTGTTTACTCACAAGCATAAAGAACCTACATATATTAGAAATCAACACTTTCTCGTTACTTTATTTCCCAGATCCCCACACTGGGCCACAGCAACACGTGGCAGGGGATGGCTAGTATTAAAATAAATATAGCGTCCCTACATTGTGGTTTTTCACTTATTGCAGGAGATCCTGGAACGTAAGCCCCGTTCTATCCCATTTCTGTTCAAATAATGTTTCAACAGGATGAACAACATATGGAAAAAAAGCCATTGATCATCATGAATCATTTTCCTCTCATCTTCCTTTTTTAGCTCAAGGATATGATAGAGCTAAATGAATTGTAATATAGAGGCTCAAGGATGTAGAGATGGAATTCCAGATAACTGGGAATCAGTCTCCTTAAGGGAATAACTGTTATGCCCAAACATGACAAAAGTACGTAGTTGTGTTTCTCTATCTAGCCAGATGATTATTCATGTGCTTTTGGATTGTTCCGGCTAGAATTATCCTCTCCATCTCCATATCTACACATACATATTGTCTGATGTTGACAAATACATATCTTTTAGAATATCTAAGTTTCTGACAATGTTTTGCAACTGTATGAACTATAGGCCTCAAGGCTTTAGGTGCAATTAGGAGGCATTGTAAATCTTCAACGCTATAATGATTTAATTGTACCTCATGAAGTTGGATCTGGCCAGGGTGGTCCACGCCTTAGTCACCTCCAGATTAGATTACTGTAATGCACTCTACGTGGGGCTGCCCTTGAAAATGGCTCGGAAATTCCAATTGGTACAATGGGCGGCAGCCAGGTTACTTACTGGAGCAACTTATAGGGAGCGGTCAACCTCCCTGTTTAAGGAGCTCCATTGGCTGCCGTTCATTTTCCGGTCCCAATTCAAGGTGCAGGTTCTTACCGACAAAGCCCTGAACGGTTTGGGACCTGCCTACCTGTGTGACCGCATTTCTATGTAAGAACCCACACAATCTCTTTGATTATCTGGAGAGGCCCTACTCTTGCTCCTGCCCCCTTCGCAGGCGCGATATGTGGGGACTAGGGAGAGGGCCTTTTCGGTGGTGGCCCCTCGACTCTGGAATTCACTTCCCGAGGATATCAGGCAAGCCCCCACATTGGCGGTCTTTAGGAGAAGCCTGAAAACATGGCTATTCCAGTGTGCCTTCCTTGAATAAGGAGAACTCTAAGCAATATGTCCTCACAATGCACTTTAATACTGACGTAGGATGGACTGTGCTCCCTAATTTATCTCCGAAAAATTCTATCCTAGTTATATTTTACCTTGTTCACGTCAGCATATTTTCAATTTTAATCTATTACATTTGGTCCGGCCATTTTTAAAATTTCCTGAAAACTTGCTGAAAACAGAATGGAGGGGGAAACGGAATTTTGGTTTCTGAATTATGAATCCAAACTCCTCCCATCCTAATCTCCCAGAAATTCCTGAAAACAGAACGGAGGGGGAAATGGAATTCCGGGTTCTGAATTAAGAATCCAAACACCCCCCATCCTAATCTCCTGAAAACTTCCTGAAATGGAATGGAGGGGGAAACGGAATTTTGGGTTCTGAATTAAGAATCCAAACGCCTCCCATCCTAATCTCCTGGAAAGTTCCTGAAAACAGAATGGAGGGGGAAATTGAATTCTGGGTTCTGAATTATGAATCCAAACGCCTCCCATCCTAATCTCCCAGAAACTTCCTGAAAACAGAATGGAGGGGGAAACGGAATTCCAGGTTCTGAATTATGAATCCAAACTTCTCCCATCCTAATATCCTGGAAACGTCCTGAAAACAGAACGGAGGGGGAAACAGAATTCCGGGTTCTGAATTAAGAATCCAAATGTCTCCCATCCTAATCTCCTGGAAACTTCCTGGAAACAGAACTGAGGGGGAAACGGAATTCCAGGTTCTGAATTAAGAATCCAAACGCCTCCCATCTTAATCTCCTGGAAACTTCCTCAAAACGGAACGAAGGGGGAAACAGAATTCCGGGTTTTGAATTAAGAATCCAAACACCTCCCTTCCTAATCTTCCGGAAACTTTCTGAAAATAGAAAGGAGGGGGAAACGGAATTCTGGGTTCTGAATTAAGAATCCAAACTTCTTCCATCCTATCTCCTGGAAACTTCCTGAAAACAGAACGGAGGGGGAAACGGAATTCCGGGTTCTGAATTAAGAATCCAAACGCTTCCCATCCTAATTTCCCGAAACTTCCTGAAAACAGAATGGAGGGGGAAATGGAATTCTGGCTTCTGAATTACGAATCCAAACATTTCCCATCCTAACCTCCCGGAAACTTCCTGAAAACAGAACGGAGGGGGAAATGGAATTCTGGCTTCTGAATTAAGAATCCAAATGCCTCCCATCCTAATCTCCTGGAAACTTCCTGAAAGCAGAATGGAGGGGGAGATGGAATTCCAGGTTCTGAATTATGAATCTAAATGCCTCCCATCCTAATCTCCCAGAAACTTTCTGAAAACAATAGGTAGGGGGAAACGGAATTCCGTGTTCTGAATTACGAATCCTAACTTCTCCCATCCGAATCTCCTGGAAACTTCCTGAAAACAGAACAAAAACATGGATTTCTGCCATTTCACACACCCCTAGAAAATGCTCCTGTCTGAAACCCTGGGGAGCCATTGAACCTCCGGATAGACAATAATCTGAAGAAATGGAACAATGGCGCCACTCAAAGTGTTCCCACACTCACCTCCAAATTGTGCCTGTCCCTTTCGAGGACATAAGCAACTGGGCCTTTGGCGGCATCTATGGCGCAATCCTGGAAGACAGAAGTAGAGAGTGTCAGTGCAATGAAACCAAAATGAACACAGCTTACTTCTGTGATTTAAAACATGATGCATTTTGCGGCATGTTGCATAGGATTGACATGGATTACAGCTCACCTTTGCGTGAATCACGTTGTATATTGCATCTGAAATCGTCTCCTTTCTGAATGTGCTAAGAATATCCTGTAGAAGTGCTGTGCATTCTGTAAAAAGAAATACACACACAACCTGTATATATAAGCAATGTCCAAACGTAGGAATAATAGCAATGTCCCAAAAAGCTTGCGGAAATAATCCAAATGCAGTGAATAACCAAAAGCCTTCAACAGAAAACTATGAACAGACTAGCCACTGCTAATCCCCTTGAAAAGCTAGATATATCCTTAGAGACGAGGCCACTTGAATCAGGAATTTCCAGGAGATTTGAGCTTGATTCCAAACGATGCCCAATCTGAAGAAGATTCTCTAAGGGCCCAATTTAAATCCCAAAAACTGGTTTCTACTCCCCCCAGTTTTTGGCCTTAACTGCCGAATTCTTTCTGACCTGCATAAACACTGGGCCTCTCAATGGTTCTGGCTGATTTCCAGATGGCGACTGGTCTTATCTATCTCTATCTCCTCATTAACTCCCCCAGGTGTCAAGCTATCTTGCAAACTTGAGCCTGGAGAAGGGAATAAACTTTCTTCCCTTGCTCTGACAGCAACTTTCTCATGAGAACTTAGCCTTTCCCCTGACCCCTCTCGATCAGTGTCTGCAGTAACCTTATCTCAGCGGCTTTCGATACCATTTTTCATTGTATCCTTCTGGGGCGGCTCTCCAGAATGGGTCTTGCAGGCATTGCTCTGCAGTGGCTCCGTTCCTTCCTGGAGGGTCGCTCCCAGTTGGTGAAGCTGAGGGATACCTGCTCAGACCCGTGGCCTTTGACCTGTGGGGTCCCGCAAGGTTCCATTCTATCCCCCATGCTTTTCAATATCTACATGAAACCCCTGGGTGAGGTTATCTGGAGTTTTGGAGCTGGGTGCCATCTGTACACTGATGACACCCAACTCTACTACTAATTTCCACCGAATTCCAAGGAAGCCTCCCAGACCCCGAACCGATGTCTGACAGCTGTGATGGACTGGATGAGGGCTAACAGGTTGAAGCTTAATCCAGACAAGGCAGAGGTCCTCCTGGTCAGTCGTGGGACCGACCGGGGTATTGGGTGGCAACCTGTGCTCGACGGGGTTACACTCCCCCTGAAGTTAGCCTGGGGGTCCTCCTGGACTCAACGCTATCACTTGATGCTCAGGTGTCAGTAGTGGCTGGGAGGGCCTTTGCACAACTCAAACTTGTGCGCCAGCTGCAACCATACCTTGTGAAGTCTGACTTGGCCAGGGTGGTCCACACCTTGGTTACATCCAAACTGGACTATTGCAATGCACTCTACGTAGGGCTGCCCTTGAAGATGTCTCGGAAGTTTGATCTGGTACAGCGGGTGGCAGCCAGGCTCCTTACTGGAGCAAACTATAGGGAGCACACAACACCCCTATTAAAACAGCTTCATTGGCTGCCGATAAGTTACTGAGCCAAATTCAAGGTGCAGGTCATGACCTATAAAGCCCTAAATGGTTCGGGCCCTGCCTATCTCTGCTATTGCATCTCCTTCTATGAACCGGCGTGAGCTCTAAGATCTTCTGGGGAGGCCCTCCTCTCGGTCCCACTAC